AGTTTGCCCAATACAAAGTTTCTCTTGATGAGAAGCTGTTTGTAAAGCTGTCACTGACCGCCTGGAGCTTCTGAAACCTTTAAAGACGTGCTATAGCCTTACACATAAGCTGCCTTGAAACAAACAAATTTGACTTTAAAAAACCTATATTCTTGCTTTAAAAATTCTTAATCTTAGTTTCTTTCGTAACTACAAACATTTGGGAGAAGCACATTTATTTCAAACTGTGATCAAAACTGAAACTACCAGTGCATTTCAACGAAAATAATACACTCTCCAGCCAATTAGAATCAAGAATTTGAAAAGACCATGGAATAACATGCATTAATAAATGTTGAACTATGATTAATAAATGATTTGTAACTAGGCTGTTATAACTAACATTAACCAATGTAAGCTTTAAACTTTAAAATCTGACTATAAACTTAAAAAAAAAAACGCATGATTTGTTTAAACATCCTAAATGTAAACCCAAAAAGTAAATTATTGTTTATATAAAAAATAAATAAATAAAAAAGAGCTAGTGTTAATTTGTTAATAAAACAACATTATTAAAATAAAATATGCCAATAAAGTGCATAGAATTGGTTATTAAAAACAGAGCTGTTCTTAATTGTTGTCAAGAACATTAGAAAAATATATATTACAGGACAAAACTTTTTACTATTTTATTTATGCTTTAGATGCATTAGCCATTGTTAGTTAATGTTAACTAACTAAATTAACTAACATATGAACTTGTCAATGCAACATTGACAAGCCTATAATTTTCATTCACTTAGAATGTTTTCTAAAATATTTCATTATAAAAAAATCAAAATTTTTGATAACCAAGTATCAGTTTGTGTGTAAACATTCTTGACTAGTAGAAAAGAAAACACTGTGGAACAATACATGTATTGCCTACAGCCTTATTTGTTTCATTAAGCCATGATAAATGTCATTGCTAGCAGCATTGTGGAGACAATGGTGAAATTAGTTTTCTGTTTCCGTGCCAACAATTCAGAATTTGATTCTAGTTTATTTTGATGGCCCTTTTGGATGTAAATGTGTAACTAAACGTCAACAAGCTCTCAAATTAATATTAGTGGACTCCCTGGTACACCTGATATTAAGATGTACTTTGGTTAGTTGAATAGAAAGCAAATGAGGGAGAGATTCCCCTAATACCTTGTCTTTAAATGTAGTTTTTAGCCACTTCGAAAACTTTCCTGATTTCGTTAAAAGTTTAAGGAGTTTTGTATGGATATTTTCTGATCTTTCTCTTCAATGTTGCATCTGAGTGTTTAACATTTTTGGTTACTTCTTAATACTAGATGTAAACATGGTCTTAGATTACAAATAAGGTATGAATAAAAGGTATGGAAAAATATATGCGTTACAAAAATTTATTTTCATCAACTCAGCAGTTTCAAGTTACATTCTATGTTTTTTAAGTCAATTATTTTTTTTAAGTAATTACTTTTTAGTAAAGAAAAACTGTTAACAAATATTAAAGAGATAGTTCACCCACGAACCATATGTTTACTCTGCTGTTGAAAACCAAAAAGCAAATGTTTTAAAGAATGTTGGTAACCAGGGGCCTGTTTCAGTAAGGAGGTTTAAACAACTCAGAGTTTAAACTTGAAAGAGTTGATTTATGGAGAGATTAAAAACTCAGAGTTTTCGGTTTCAGAATAGTGGATCTGAGTTAGGTCAATCAACTTTGAGTAGACCAACTCAGAGTTAAGCGCGCACACCGTGACTATAAAAAGGCATGATCAATGGAGCCCAGATATTACGAGTGACAATGGCAACATCTTAAAAAAAGAGATCACCATTTCTTTCTCCAGCTGAATTTGATGTGATCATGCAACGTTATAGCAAATATGAGTGTATATATTTTTAAAAAGAAGCAGCTATCAGTGAAACGGAGACAGTTAGCTTGGGAAAACAGCTGCTCAAGTTAATGCGTAATTTTACATTTAAAATAATTAAATATTTAAGTATAATAAAATAAGTAATGTAATGTGTGATGTTTATACGATTTTCTTAACTTTTAAACACGTTTATCAGTTTTAATAGATTTAACAGTGCACTTGTGTGTCTGCTTTTTTTTATTGATCCAGAGTTTCTCTCATTTCAGGGTTAAAATACTCTGAGTTTTTACTTAACCTCCTTTCTAAATCAGGCCCAAAAACAGTTGATAAAAACAGAGGGTTTTCCAGGTAATGATTCCTCAAATCTGAAAGACTGCTAATAATCTAATGACTGCAAGTTGACATTCCGCACAGTAGTTGCTTAAAATCAAAAGTATGTCTAAATATTTGCAAGTTTCTTTCTGAATCCTCTTGTTTTCCTGTTTGTCTTTGTGATTTTGTAAGGCTGAGGTCTTTCTAAGATTGTGGGCCATACCTGGACTGAAGGAGCAGTATGGCAAAAATCAAATCTTCACAAACTTGTGGAATTCAACCATGACCACAGTAAGCCGCGGTCAACCAAATGCTTTCACTACAATTGATCTGTGCCTCAGGCTTTTCAGTGGTCAAATAATCTTAATCCATCATGTCAAATTCCCTGGTCAAAAATGCCCTAAACAGCAGTTAAAGAGGGGGCTGACTCTAAATGTGAAAATTAGCTTACTAAACAGACTACCTAGAATTTGACAGCCTAATGAAAACTTTGCAGATCAATACGAACATGTATAACATTGAGAACATGTGTAAATGTGTTACACCAACAGTCCTTCCATATTTGTGGATATATATTTGTATTTAGATTATTTAGTATTTGTATACACATTATGTGTGTTGTTTACTGTGCATATTTAGTATATAGACATACAATAACAATACATTTATTACAGTATTTATTTATGTAATGTTAGTAAATTCTGTGCATTAATGTTAACAAGTTAACAAACACACATATATGTATATATATATATATATATACACACACATACATAATAAATAAACAGCACAAACACACATATATTATGTAAAAAAATTTCTTTTTTTTGGAAGCGACTAACCCAGCACTAATATATATTGTTCTTACCTTTTCATTGTGTGTAAACAGTTGCAGTGCTGTGGCTTTAACAACTACACCGACTTCTCTGGATCCTATTACTATATGCAGAATGGAGAACTTTACCCTCCTGCTTGTTGTTTAGGTCTTGAGCTCTTCCCCTGTGATGAGGACAATGCAGATTACAGCAGGGTTATGGTGAGAAACATATAGAGACTGTTCAAAATTGTAGAAAAAAGTTGTAAAACTGGAAAAGAATGCAAAGATTTGGGCATGTTTAGCTGTTAGGTAGCTGCTATATATGATTAACTACATGTGCATATATGACTGGAATCAAGAAATTGTGTCATAAAATTAAGTTTATATAAAGGAGAATTGGAAACATTTTGCATAAATAAATCAAAAGTGCTGTTCACCTAAATCACATTTTGGACTGTGACTGTCTGTGAATATTAAACAGTAAAAAAGATTATTTAAATAGAGCTCTGGAAAAAAAAATAATGCTTAAAATTATGATATTCTTATTTTGAACTTTTAAAGCCATTTCTCAGTACGTAAGAAAATAATGTTCTTTGTGAATAAATAGTGCTTTTGCAACACATCAGCTTCATCTCTTCTGAAAATGACTTAACAAGTATTTTACTGTTTTATATGTGTGAAAATCTATCATCACATCATGTATACACAAACACAAGCATCTTTTCAACATGTAAACCTGCTTTTCAACCTGTGAACCTGCTGTAGAAACATAGTGTATACAACAAAATCAGCTACAGATAAACTCGGTGAACATGGACTCAGGCATATGTATGTTTCGGAGTCATTCTTAAAGCTGTTGACATATTGAGGAAATATATAAAAATAGAGAGATAAAAAGGACAATATGGAGACAACTCAAAACTATACATACCTATTACATTTTGTTTGTTTTTTTTCATTTGAAACTTTTGTAATGTTTAAAACATTACTTTATCTTAAAAACATAATTATGAGATGTGAACCCCTAGCAAATTCAGACTTAAAGTATTTGTTCAAACGTAAATAGAAGCTAACATTTTTTATTTTATTTTTTGCACAATGAAGCCTCTTGTACATCATCTCTTTTTCTTTTGGAAGTAGTCTGTGACATTTTTGGTCAAAAATACTTGCTGGTTAAATAAAGTAACTTTAAGTCAGAATTTGCCAGGGGTATGAATAATTTTGGCCTTGACTGTTTATTATATTATATTATATTATATTATATTATATTATATTATATTATATTATATTATATTATATTATATTATATTATATTATATTATATTATATCATATCATCATATCATATCTCATATCACGTCATGTCATGTCATGTCATGTCATATTATATTATATTATATTATATTATATTATATTATATTATATTATATTATATTATATTATATTATATTATATTATATTATATTATATTATATAGATTTTTAGATGTTTAATGTTTCATAATTCAAAATGATCTCAAAGTAAGCATGATGATGATGACTTAATCATTCTGAAAGCATGTGAAAGGAAAACAGCTTCTGGACACAATTGTTTTGGTGCCAGTCGACTGAGCCATACTGAGATGTGATTAATGTTGCATTCAAGTGCACCTGAAAAAATCATACCTCCAAGTCAGGGATTTGTTATTATGACACGTATTGTGTTACAGCTGAATAACAACTGTATTTGAAATGCAGCTTGCAAAAAAAAAAAACATATACAACTAATATACTATTAGAAAATGATGATGTCACGACAGCACCATAACTATATTGCTCACAGGGCTTACCATTCGTTCTATATAAATTACTAGACAAAAACGTCATCTAATTCAAATTCATGAGCCAAGCTGATAAGGTATATAGATGTGACCCCCCATCACATTTCTGATGGTCCCCACGCCCATGTGTATTACAGCAGTGCAGTATGTGATTTTGGCCCTTTCGCCTGATATTGGTTTTTTTCCCAGGGCTGCTTTAAACGAATTGTTAAGAACACCAAAATGAATGTCAACATTGTAGGAGGAATAGCTGCTGGAGTCACTGCCATTGAGGTAAACATAATGCATCCATCATGCTGTTACAATAACGAATACATTGGGTATATAAAATTGAACAGCTCTCAGGATTTGACTGTTGCCTTCATCATGACTGGGTAGCACAAGTTTGGAAAGCACGACAATTTAGCACTTTGCATGTCCAGCACAAACTATGCACGTCAATGTATATATATATATATATATATATATATATATGTATATGTATATATGTATGTATATATGTATGTATATATATATATATATATATATATATGTATATATGTATGTATTTATTTGTATGTATAATTAAGCAGTTTTCCCTATTTTATGATTTATTTATGCTTTTGAATTGCATTATAGAACCTTGATCTTTCTCCCAACAACCTTTAACCTTTTAAAGCTCAAAAAAGTGACTTTTATTTCTCTATTTAATTTGTTTATACATTACATAATTTCCAACAACTAAAATGTCAATAACAGTCATTTTGTTAAACTGTAGAGTTGAATTAATATTAACATTAAAAGTCGATAGAGCAGAGATCAAGGTCCCATAATGCAATTCAGAACCATAAACCAACACTTATAAATAAAAAAATATGGAAACTGTTAATTAACAGATCTTTTTTTAGTGTACCTTCAAATGATTCAATTAAATTACCATGCCAAGGTTTGATGCAAGGACCGAAGTTCCTTTAAATGACAAGCAGCAAAGATGATTGGCACTCAATATATTTTTTAATGATAAAACAGGAGAAAAAAAATTATAGGCCATGAGCCTTCACCTGAGTAATGATTCATTATCTCTTTATGATTATATACTCAGTCATTTCAGGTCTTCACAATCAGTTGAGTCACAGATATAATTTAAGTCACATTACGTTCACATCTTAAGAATTTGAATGCAAAAGTCATGTATCAGGAAGTAGAAAAAAAAATAAAAATCCCAACAATCTAAGTTGCAATGCATCAGACCAATATTATACTATGTTGTACATCTGGTCTTGAATAAAATAAAATAAAAAAAATAAAAAAAAAATAATAATAATAAAATAGATTAATCATTAATTCATTTATTTCTCATTTTAATTATCTTTAAACAATGTGTTAAAATGTAGTACACTACCTTCAAATAATAATGTGTTTTGTTTTCTAGTTGGCTGCGATGGGAGTGGCTATGTATCTCTATTGCTACCTGGACAAAAAAGAAACCTGAAAGTCTTACTAAAATTATGAATGCATTTTTTTGTTTATGATTCAAAGTAGGGAAGCGATACTGTAGATGTTATGAAATTAATTGTTGATTAGATGAAAAGATTTAATTTGTACGATTTTAACAAGGCAAAGTGGATGATAAAATTGTTATTTGATTTTGAAAAGGGATGTGATGTAAAAAAAAATAATTATTTTCTTTCTGTGTATGCAATGCAATGCCTCAATTCTTTTTATAACCATAAATCCAGTTCATTTGCATTGAGATACAATAATTGTTTTGCACTGAAACGCTTCATCCCACACAAGCTGTTCTTATACATGAAAAATTTGTTTAGGGAGCAGAAAAAAAGTGTTGGCTTAGATTATGTCATAAATACTGCATAAATAACTTTGCACCATACAAAAATATACCTACTTTCAATATGTTATATTTGGTGAATGAGAGAGGTTGATTATTTGCTTTTTTTGGTATGTACAGTAAATAAAATGCAACATGATGTGAAGTCAATCCAGTTTCTCCTTGCAATGACTTTGACAGTGTAGATCAAAATAAATGAATGAAGAGGTGGAAATAATATTCATGCACAAACATTGTAACTCACTCTACTAAAACACTCTCTCTGGTGGTCTGCATCATTATGAAATTCCCACTACAACTTCAGCACACACAGTCAAATCACATTTACAAAGGGCTTAAACCACACTAAATTTGCATTGATTTCAATATTCACACAATTTCCTTTGCGGCTTCTTCAGGTTTCCACATAGTTTGCCTGCCCTGTTGTCTACTTATCTAAAAGAAAATGATTATGTTTATAACATTAGATATCATTCTATTGAGAAAAACGAAAACTAGGGCTAAATGATCGTTTTAGCACTGAAATCACAATTGTACACATTTACAATAGTCACATTGCAGGATGTGCAATATTGAGTTTATATGGTGGGATTACAATTTACCAGAAGCTACAGTTCAGAAAACAGAGCATTTTTGGATTCACTGAAATGTTTAACCATAATGGAGTGAAAGTTGATGATTTGCATGTGTTTTTAAGGCCAGTGACTGTGTATGCATTCAGGCACATGAAACTGTACTGTTTGTAACTCTAATAAAGATACATTTATTGAATTATTTATACAAAGAAGGCTATATCGTGTCATTTCACATTAGATTATTGAATTTCTGTACCTGAATACGGTGAAGGAAAATATTTTACTTCTATCTTCCCAATAACAATCCAAAATAATCCCCATATTCTAACAAAATAATTCAAATCAGTTTAAAACTAATTCTTTCCAAATTGAGCTATAGCAAAGAATCTGGTGACATTGTATTCATATTGCAATATAAATCAAAAGAAAACAAAATTTCAATATCATGCAGACCTACGCATATATAAAAATATACTGTACATGACACTAGCTAATTTTAACCTTTTATATATTGTTAATATTTTAAAAGAATAATAAACTAACACATTTAAAAACATGCGAATTGTTCCTATGTCATTTTCGATCCTCTAGCACAGTGGTCACCAAACTTGTTCCTGGAGGGCCGGTGTCCTGCAGATTTTAGCTCCAACCCTAATCAAACACACCTGAACAAGCTAATCAAGGTCTTACAAGGTATACTTAAAACATCCTGGCAGGTGTGTTGAGGCAAGTTGGAGCTAAACCCTGCAGGGACACCGGCCCTCCTGGACCGAGATTGGTGACCCCTGCTCTAGCGCAAAAGTGCCCAAGTTCGGTCCTGGAGAAAGTTTTTAGTATAGGATACCTACTTAGAGCTTAGGTGGTTCAGGTGTGTCTTATTGGTGTTGGAGGTAAACTATGCAGGACACGCAGCTGTAGTGCATAATAAATTAAAACGTATGAGTTATGCAGATTAATATTGATTTGGTTGTTATTCATCTTATGTTAAAATTTTAAATATATGCGCCAATTATTCGAGCAGATAAATTTTTTGATGTTGTTATGGGTTTTGAAGTTGTCAGCTATTATCCTCTGTACATAAATCACTACCACAACAAAAACTCAAGACTTTGGTGAACCGTTAGGTTTACAATTATGATCCATTCTTGAAAATACAGTTCTGCAAAACAGTGATATTATCTAATATCTCTTTTTTTTTTTTTTTTTATTATAGTTTTGAAACATTACATAAAGTAAAAATACAACAATTGAGATATATATTATATCCATAAACATTACTATAATTACAAGAATCAAAATTAATGAGGTAATATATAACAGGAAAAAAAAAAGTGTAAAATATTGCAAAGGAAAAAAAAATAAATAAAAGATTAATAAATAAGATAAAAAAAAAAAAACAATTACAAAATACTTCTATACATATAAACTAAAATAATAACTTAGGATACACTCATCGACTACAGCGGGGGATCAGAACTAGAAAAAAATTCCTTCATGAAAACTAACATTAAATCATTCTTTTTCTAATATCTCTTTTGGCTTACCTGTCGAGTTAGTGTTGATGCAATTTCCTCTAAAACAGGAAGGCAGCGTGGGCCATATGCAGCAGCACCTCCCATTTTAAAAATAGCCAATTCCGTTTATTGGCCAGACCCATGTGACAGCTAGTCGATTTTGTCTAAACGATTGTCGAAGATAACTGCATGATCCTTGTATCTGTATTTGTTGTAATGTACTGTTATTATTGCAATAAATAATAAAAATAATAATACTAATAATAAACAATCAAAAACTTTATTTTCATTAACTGATGTTAACAAAATGAATAAATACTGTCGTTAATGTAAAATAATAATAATAATAATAATAAAAACAACATGATCCTATATGACTGCGGCTGCTGTCGCGTCAGGACAAGAGGGGAATAAGTGTGAATAATTATCATCATTATCAGCCCAATAAGAAAGAATATAACTGTTACACTGTCTGAATGGTTTAATTTTTATATAATACATTGTGCAAGCGTTATTAACCGAACATTAAAGCCATTTGAGCAGCTTCTATTTATATCGCAAGATATTTATATCACTTTATATTTCAGTCAGCATTTGACTGGACAGAAATTCTAAAGAGAAGCTGTAATGCAGTGATGTCATAGAAAATGTTAAGGAAAGAAACTGCCATTTTAATGAGTTTTTCTTTTAAATCTTTTTTTTTTTTTTTTTTTTTTGGTCATTGTTTTGGAGCATACAACTTTTGGATAAAACCATAACTATGTTTAATTAAATGTAAACAGGTTTAAATTTTAGTACTAAGTTATTAAGGCAAATCTCTCGTATGTAAGATTTTTTATTTTTCATTTTAAATGAAAGATTTCATGGAATTTATTAGGTTAATTTTAGTAATTGGGAGTAAAACAAATAGATGATTATGACTAGGTTGACTACTGACCAAGGCTCTCATTTTCTAATAAATTATTTAAAAGACCCAATAAATCATCAATCAATCAATACATCACAAGCGTTGTTTCTGTCATTATGGTAAATGTCAGAATAAACTGAGAACAAGTGGTCTAAAGCCACATTTAAAACCTTTGATACATTTCATTCCAATAAAGTAAAACTGTATAGATGACATTATTGTGCATAAAAATCTAGATCATTGAGAAAATAAAGATCATTGAGACAAAAAGTTTAAGAAAACATTTTTATTTTATATTAGAAAACCAATCATTTTTAACTACTTGGATATACAAAACTGTTGGAGAATATTAGACATCCTCTGCAAACGGAAGTACAAAATAATATGTTGAGATAATAAACACTTCTATTATGGTATTGCACATGTTCCAAATACTATGAAAATGTTTAGTGGCACCACAAGTAAAAAGTCTGTAGCAACCTTAGTACCGATCTCTGAAACTTACAACAATCTAGTCTGGAATCTCCTCCGTGAAATGATTTGGACATTATTGCGTGATAAATCAATTTTCCACCAGCATCTCTACATACAGTAAGTCACGTTAACACAGGGCAGATCTGTGATGCAGCTGAGATTGCATTGATTTCAAGTGTTAATCTTCCACCGTAAGGCTATTAAGTGGCTGTGTGGACACATAGATCTCACCTAAGCAGCATCACCTGTCTATCTCAGAGAAAAGAGAAATCTTAATGCTCTTGCTGGAGGGCCAACATTTAAAGAAAACCAATTACACACATTGAAATCTGTCATTTTCTGATTGTGCAGTAATGTGTAGCTCACAGATACTGCTTGAATCTTTTCAGCCAGTAAAGAACAAAAATCGATAAAAACACTCAAAAATATGATGACAATCTTTTGATCTGAAAATATATTTGTCTGTACACAGTTTCGTTTGTAAACAAATAAAAAGCGTTTTGTTTCTTGATTACATTTTTTTTCCATGTGTAAAACTGAATTCATCAGGTAAAAATAAACCTAGTTATCTTGATATTGACAAAATAAATAGACATAAGTTAAAACATATGTGCAGGGTGGCCCAATGCACTCAGTAGTGTTAAAAGCATCTTACGTCCGACATATTTTAATCCCTTTTCGCAGTATTGTGTCACATTTAGTAACTCACTTTATTGTAGTACCAGTAATACTTTAAAATATCTATCGGTCATTTTCTAACATAAAACCTTCCAGCATAAATTTATATGAAATGGGGTGACCCCAGGAAAAACTCCAAAACACAAACCAACAATAAGAGGTCACGTCACACACCTTTTGATTTTTTTAAAATAAATCCACTCAAATATCGCTCTAGCTTCAATGAGCCTGTAGTTTCTAGATGCTTCCGGCACAGGGCGGTTCATCCCATCGCTCAGCCCCTTTGTCTTGCAGAGGCTTGAAGTGTAACACAAGGCCCATTATCAGCCTGACACAGGCCTTGTCTGTTAGTGGTTAGGAAAAGCCCTTTGGCTTGGATTAAGACAGGTCTACATCTGTTCCACAGGAGGCCCCTCCTCTTTAGGTGCAGGCTCCAGGTGAATGGGAGTGACATTACTGGGCTTCTTAACACTAAGGGAGAGAGGAAGATTACATTAAAGGTCACATCTAAAAGTTTCAAGTACAATATCATATGTATCATACACACAAAATTGTTTAAGAAACTAAGTAATAATAATAATGATAATAATAATAAAGTAACATAATTTGCAATGCACTTTCCTTACACTCAAGGTGCTACAGAAGTAGAAACAACAATAAAACATTGCTATTCCATAACAGCAATCACAATGACAACACAATAGTTACAAAACACAACTATAAAATTATAACAAAGTAAATAAAGACAGGCATGCAGACCAAAAAACAGCACAAAGCAACAAACCATTAAAACAAAAACAGAATAAAACTGAAG